AGTTGAATCGGCCTTGGAAGCTCTCTCTGAGCTCCCTTGATCCTCCGCTGGGCGTTCTAACAATTCTGGGTTAGGGCAGTCCTTTGCCCAGTGCTCCTTTCGTCCACAACACATGCAGAGTTCCTGCCTTCGTCTTCTCCACTTCTCCGCTCTTTCCTCAGGAGTCCATTTTCTCCCGGTATCGGTAACTCCTGCTCGGAGGACCGCTTCAGTCCATTCTCCTCCATCCTTGCAGTGACAGCAGTCTTCGTCCTCCTCTCGGCTTTCGCTATCGTAACTTTCTCCTTCCCCCCAAGCTGCAGACGCCCTTTGTCGTCCCTCTTTCCAGTTGGATCTGTTTGGGAACCTCCCTGTCGCTGCTGGTTTCGGATTGGAGGTCCAGACATCAGCTGGATCTCGTTCCCGACGCAAGGGGGACTTGTAAGGAGCTTCAGGTGCTAACTCTAACCCGGGGAAGCGACTCAACCATCCTTGCAGCACTTTTTCACCGTGGAGATTCCTCAAACTCTCTGCTTGCGCACGTACGGCTCCGTCCAACTTCGTGAACACTCGGGTCCACTCGTCGTAGGATCGAGGTTCCTCCCTTCCTGTAACAACCTGTAGAGGCAACCAGGGAGCTACCCCTTTCTTGAGGTATGTTACCAGAGCCTCGTCGTTAAACCCGGTCAGAGGAGCGTATTCGTTGAAGCGAATGAAGAAGTTGGCGAAGCTTTCCTCCGGCATCTGCTTCATCCAGGCTAACCTCCTCCTTGCCTCGTCCGCCTCGTCGATGGGTCCGAATTTGGAGCCGAACTCTCGTTTGAATTCTGTCCAGTCTTCGAGACAAGTGTACTCCCCCCTCAGTCGTTGCCGATTCAACGTGTCGAAGTGGGAGAGTGCTGCACCGGTGAGATGACTAGCTGCGGAAGCGCACTTGTCCTTTTCCCGAGCATAGATGGTAGGTCGTACTCCAAACATCCTTTCCAAACTGAGGACCCACGTCTTCCATGCAGACCGGTCGTCACCTGCGAAGCTTTCGATCTTACCGACGTCGAGCTTCGACTCAATGGTAATCCGATTTTTTTCTTCGTTGCTCTCCCACGTACTTCGTCCCTCGTTAGGAGGTCTAGCAGCTGCCTTACGGTGCCAACCTTGTCTTGGATCGTAGTACCAGGGTTGGTCCGGGTCATAGCGTGTTGGAGGTACATCAGGAGCTCCAGTGGGGAGCTCTCCTCTGTCCTCCTCTCTCCTTCCACCATTCCTACTCGATTGGTTCTGTTCCCCCTCATTGGAACCTTCCGAATTACTATCACCCGGTCCCCCGGAAGGTGGTGGAGGAGGAGGAGGCGGAGGTGGTGCCCCTCCCCCGCTCCTTCCTCCCTGTTCTCTTTGACCCTGTCCCCCTTGACTCAGAGGTTGTTCTCGATCTCTCGATTGACTAGAAAAATGTGGGGGAGGTACTCTAGGAGGGGGGTTAATACCGCCTTTGCCTCCTCCCTCGTTTTCCAACGCGTACGCTCCTCCTTCTGGTCTCCCATACTCCCCTAGTTCAGCTCTTTGCACTCGGGCTCCCCACTCGTGAATACGTCGTCGGTCCACACTTGGAGTATCCGGGATCTGTCCTGCTTGTTCTACCTGGGGGTTTCCATCCTTAGCTCCTGTAGGAGTGTTTCGGTTAAAGGATATTGGTTCCGTAGCTTGCCAGCTCCTTGGCTGGGGAACTACAGGAGAAGGACCCCCCCTCGTATATTCTCTCATTACCCTAGGTGCTCGCCCGGATAATCCCGCCGTGTTTCCTGTTTTGGAAAGGGGTCCTCCAGCCGGTACTTCCCCCGCTGTGAATCCTTCCTTTACCTCACGGAGTTGTTCCTGGAGCGTCTCAATGACCCGAGCCTGTTGTTGGATCATTGCTACCGATTCCTGAGAGTGTGCTGACTCGAAAGCCATGCCAGGTCGGTTCGTCTGAGCTCCCGTTACAAAGGGAGTTCCAAAAGGAGCTCCCTGCGGGGGTACCGCCTCTTCGTGAACTGCCAACGTTCTTCGTTGGTTCGGACCCCTTTGACTTTCCGTTCCCACTGCCTGAGATTGCATCGATACCGACCCTTGATACGGAATGACTGATGGATTGCTCAGTCTTGGAGGAACGTGTACAGGGTTGGGAGCCAACCGAGCTGTCAGATCTTGTCCAGAGATCCGGGATGAATGTTGTGCGCCATCCTCACCTCACCAAACTGGTATCGCTGCGTCGAGACTGGGGTTAAAGGTTTCGTTTGCAGGTTAACTCTGGGGGGAGGAGTCGAATTTTGAGCCAAGGCATGTACAGTGGGGGAGGTCCCAGAGCGTAACTGGGGGCTCCTCGTGGCCGTGTTACCGGGGTTAAGGAGTTCAGGAACCTCGATATTCCTGGGCAATGAATGTTTCTGTGCCAGGAAACGACCATCAGATCCATGGAGCTGCCCTTTCTGGTCAAATTGCTCCGGAGGGAACTCCCCTACGCTTTCGAGTTCGCATTGAACCATATACGAGGTTCCCCGATTATCCGCGACCAGTCTGCGACGGAATTCCAAAGCTCTTTCTAGATTCGATCCAGAAAGTTCCTCCGACAGCATCAGAGTGTCTGATTCTGCTAGTAGCGTCCGGTGTCGGGTCTCCTGCGAACACAACATCGCTTCAGACTCCTCACTCCTCACCAGAAGCTGGTGCATATGCCTCATGGGCGTGTACGTGTATACCGTCTGCCCGTTACGGACCCGGACGGGACTATCCTGATCAGGCATTGACTCCACTGGGGCCAGGAGGTGAGCCGTGGTGTATCTCCTGCGTCTACGATTTTTTGCAGCGATTGCGTTAGCATCCTCGTTACTTTCCTCATCGATTTTAGCTGCTGCTTCCGCTAGGTTTGCGTTCCGAAGTATTTGGATCGCCTGGTAGTTCGGTATGTTAACCCTCGAAGGGGGAGGTTCAAACCGTACGGCTCCTGATCTGTAGTTAGAGGCTCGGTACAATATACGTAGCCCTGCTTCGCCACAGAATTCCTTCTCCCTTCCATGGGTATGAGGAAGGAGGGGAAGTATTCCCCTCGAGTTTCGGAACGATCGCCCGTAACGTGCCTCTGCCTCTAACAGTTCCAACATCCTCTCTGGGTCCAACAGGACGTTGTACAGCCAGAGAAAATCTGATCGGTTTGCGGGGGTCATCAGCCACTGCTGGGCCTTCTCTGGGAGATCTATCTCCAGTTGAGTTCCCACTGTTAGGAACTGTACTCGTAGGTCTGAGAATTCGAGACCGTCTCCCAATATTTCGATCCCCATTGACTCCAATACCTCCCTTAGGACCATAGCTACATCCTCCGGGATACACTCCTGAATTCGAATGACGTCTTCCAGACGCAATGTCATTTCGGACAAGGGTTGTACTGGGAAGTTGGTCCTGCTATGGTGTATTGCATGTGTACGCTCCCAGTTGGGCGTATTCATAGCTGGGCTTTTCAGGAGACTGGAGAGCGAACTTCCTCGTCTCGGGAGAGGAAGGTTAAGGGACTGTACTGGAGGCGTTGGTAACCTCCGGGATGACGTCCGAGATTGTTCGGATACGGCAGGGGATACCCTCCTCTCTGGAAGTTTCTCCTGTTGTCGTACTGAGAGAGGGTCAGTACTCCCCCCTTGTATCCTTTCGATAGCGGCTACTTGACCGCTGACTCTTCCACCCGCGTTCGAAGCTGACTCCATGTCTAGCTGCGGTACCGGTCCAGGGGGAGGTCCTCTCGTTCCCCAGGTAGGGGAGTATGCGAAACCTCCCATGGGACTACTGGCAGGTTGGGCGTAACCCATGGAGGTAAACCTCCGTTGTGGTGGTCCCATCCCAGGTTCCACTGGAGGGGGCCCCTGAACCTCCGGTTGACGTCCCTCTGGGGTCCGGATGTTGCTGGCGGTTTCATCCCCGAACGACTGTTCTGGGATGGACATCAGGCGTTGACCAGCTGCCACCGTGATGACAGTGGAGCTAGCAGCCTGGTTCGATTTTTGAGCTTGTGTCGTGTTTCCACGAGATAAGGCGCTCTTTTGTATCTTTGATTCGGTCTTGGAACTAGAAGGTCGTTCCGTTGACGTCGCCGACATTTCGTCGCGACGAGTCCGTTCGGTGACGGGAGAGCTTGGTATAATGTAAGACCTGGGTCAAAATGGGTCTTAGGGTAGGTTTGGTATACGAAGTTTTATGTTGTAGCGTGCTAGGAGCAGGCTGGAGCTCGAAGGGAGCTACGAGAACCGCGACCGAGGACGGGAATGACCTAGTAGTGCCTGGAACGACGAGATGATGACCCTTGAGGGGTTTCCTAGGAGGTCCAGGGAGGTCCCTAAGGCGTAGGGAGGTTAAGGAAGAGTGCGGGACTGTACGGTATTGCGTAGTAGGAGTTGTACTCGCTAGAACGTCAATATAGGATCGAGTAGGTCGTGCACGCAACTGGGTCTCGAGAGTGTAAGCTCCCGAGAAGGGATATGTCAGGGAGGGTAGGTCCCTGGGGGCTGAGCTTGAGGATGGACGTCCTCGAGTGTGGGAGGTGGTAACGGAGAAGCAATACGTAGTCCGACGTGAGGGGTAGCTTTGACGTTACCTAGATCGAGGTCCCGAAGCTTACGAAGTAGCTAGGGAGCTCTGGGAGGTTTGGGGAAGGGTAGCTCACCAAGACGGGTAGGCGTTGGGGAGCTTTAGTAATGTTCGAGGGAGCTCGGGGACTCACTCGGAAGGCTTAGACTTGAAGTGAAAGCGTATATTCGATCGTATAGATGATCAGAGAGACAATAGCCAGAAGTAGAGAGAAACAGAGGTAGAGAAACAGAGAGTAAAGAGAAATCCGTATGGTTAGCAGGTACAAAGGGACAGGGACTGGACCTATGCAAAAGGGTGTGTGTTCAAAATATACCAAGCTGGGGCTTCGGGACGTATCAGAGCTACTTAAATAGGTACAGGAAGTGATCAAGGGAACATCAGGGGCCATGAGGCGTGTAATCGAGATTAGTATCTTAATGGGGTAGGTGTAGGAGGGTTTCGACGCGTGTCGGGGGAGGTTTAGGAGCTGTCTTGGATAGGTACAGGCGTGGATCTGGGGAGGTACGGGCGTGGATCGGTACTGAGGGGTGAGAGTGTTTGGCTGATACTGGGGCTGTCCTGGTCGTCACCATTAAGAGGGCTGTGGATAATGGTCGAGGCATGACACTCAGATCCACGGATTGCCATCCAAGCCCCCTTCCATCCCGATTGAACCATACCCAAATTTGATATCCCCCGTCCTTAATGCTCCTATGAATGTATATTGTCCCCAGCATTCTTGGAATTGGCGTTTCTGGAAGTGGTCCATCCAAGTCAGCTGGTGATTGGCTGTAATACCAGGCAGTCTCTCCTTTGCTTGCATGTGACCTAAACGGAGTGGTCTGTAGCTTTGTCGGTCCATAGGTATTGCCAACAATGGAGCTTGCACGTTTCGACTCCTTTAAAAAGTATTTCGGGGCAGGTGCAGAAAATTTGAAAGTAACGGGTGTAGCTCCTCTTACTTCGGCAGCTGTGGCGGAGCCTGCCCTCAGAAAAGTTGTCAGAACAGGCCTTTTCGTGGAGAAGGACTGAAAGACCTGGACTAGCATGCTTCTCGTCTCGTTGTTTGACGGCTCCCTTCTGGGGTGGGGGCGTTCTTGCCCGCCCTCGCGTGTTTCTGTCTCAGTTTCAGTATCTGGATGTGACAGGACGCTGATACAGATTGACATACACCTCTTCAGCATTGGGATTAGGATTATCGACAATCTTCTGGACGATCCCATCGTCGTCCAGGTCATAACGGTAATACTCGTGGATTTCCCTCCTGTACCAACCCAATTGACGGGGCTTGTCAACAGTCAGCGAATGGTCAGTGTTGGTTGTTGAGGCTAAGTTAGAATATTACCGTCGAACCATGGTTTCCGTTGTCGGTGGCCTCGTCTGGCTCCATTCTTGAAAGTATCAGTCGAAACGTAGTGCTTATAATCAGATCGAGCTCGAAAAATGCTCTCATCGTAACATGTGCATGTACATGCCTCTATCGAGCTTGGATTGTGGAATTAGCTCAACTCTTCTCAGCGCTAATCTCGCAAGTACTGCCATTAGGAAGGATAGCTTCTGTTTTCGCATGGATGATGTCTACGATAGGCAATTATTATCCTATCAGTATTCGCACTACGACATGATGGAAGTAGGAGCGAAATTTGCCGACGTAGGCTGATAGCTATTGTCCCTGAATCGATAAATCAGTTGTGAGTTCCACCGTCTCGTACATATTTTTCCAATACTCAAAGATGTGTTCGCACAATTCTATTTTCCAGAAATTCTGTCTTTGAGCCAAACTCGATTGTTGTATGGCTCGCCGCCATAGAGATGATTTGGACGAACAGCCGTGCCGATGTCAAGAGTGTTTGACGCACAATCCGGAGGGATTACTGGTTTCACGGTCTACTTCGATTGCACATCGGCATCGGGAACGTCTGCGCGCTGCTTTCTCCAGTGTCGAAAATCCAGAAATGAATCAAACAGACGAGAGAAACAATCTAGAGAGCATTTCCAATGGAAGTTCGCAGTCGGATCCCAGGCCACATATCTCTTCTCCTTCTGTTCCGCCTCTTTTGGTTGAAATGGAAGAAAACGAAAACTGGCTGCGATCAGTCGTATCTGAGAAAGATATACGTCTAGAAACTCTATACGACTCAGAGACTCATTTGGAATTCATCAACCATCCTTCTCCCAACCTCTCCTTTGTCTCTCCGGATCCAGAAACCTTACTCCATGTTAATTCCGGAGAATTCAGTCTCAAGACAACCAGCGCCTGTAATATGCGATTTTTGGAGACGGAGTCAAGATTCTGTGGTCTGCTGAAGCAAATTCAGGCCCTTCCACCGGCAGTACGTTCGATAGGAGAATTGGATGTGGAGAACGAGCTATACACAGCATTACACAGGATTCATCGCTTCAAAGGTCGACAATGGAAATTACAAGCCCATCCCAACGGTATCGGGGGAATGACAGTCAACAATAGTATGTGAATTTTTGATATCCTCTCCTCCAGTGTCTGAACCCCTATTAGCTCGTCATTTTACAGTTCCCAAGGTAAAGCCTGATATAGCGCCAATTTTCATTGCTGCCTTGATAATATATATCAAATTCCAAACCCCCGTCCACCAGATGCGAGTCATTCTGGCATTATTACGCTGTATTGTCAGAGTGTTGAAGAGAAACAGCGAGGTTGATTCGCACATTCCTTCCCAGATTCCAAAGGATGTTCACACTATCATCGATTGTTATGACATTGATCCCACCTTGCACGCTTTCGTTGCATGCCCCACCTGCTATGCACTGTATCCTTTGACAGACGAAGCGCTAAAGAATGCAGAAAGTGTCTATCAAGCAAATAAACCTCTTCCCGTATGCAATGAGAGGTCTCATCCAGACTCAGCGCCGTGCGGAACAACCCTTTGGAAGACTCGTCGCATTGACCGTCGAACATTTGTTACCCCCATACGAAAACAGATTTTTCAGGATCTGAAGGAATGGATAGGAAGAATTGTGGCTACTCCAGGCTTCGAAGATGCTATAGCTCAACATCAGCAAAGCCCACCTCCCGCAGATGGCGATCCAGAAAGAGATTTTGTGGATTCCACAACATTTCGCCAATTCAAGGGCGCGGATGGCGAGTCATATGCAATACCTAAAGTGGGCCCTTCTGGATCGCCGGACCTGCGACTCGTGACAAGTCTAGGATTCGACGCTTTCAATCCGTTCCATTCCAAGACAGCGCATGCAATAGTCCAATCCACAGCTCTATACATGGTCATCCTGTCTTTGCCAGAGCACCTTCGATATTGACCCGAGAACATGTATCTGCTCACTGTCATGACTGGAAAACCTAGCCAGCATCATATCAACTTCACCCTACGTAAACTGGTGAAGCAACTACTTCCTTTCTGGGAAGGAGTGTTCCACGTACGCACCGCACGCTATTTTCTCGGGCGAAGAGTATTCATAGCGCTAATTCCTGCCGTATGTGACACCGAAGGCGCACATCAGCTTTCGGGATTTGCCTCGCATAGCCATACGTACTTCTGTAGACGATGCCTTTTACAAATCGGTGACATTCACAATCTTGTTCCGCAAACATGGATCATGCGCGACCCTGCTCAGCATAGACAGTTAGCTCTCAAATGGAAAGAGGCTTCAACGGAAGAAGAACGTCAGAAAATTTACAATGAGTTTGGGATTCGATGGTCGGAGCTCTTAGAGTTACCGTACTGGGATCCTGTTCTTTTCACGATCATTGACGACATGCATTTCGCGCAGCTTGGGCTCTTTGAGACTCACCTGCGTGACGTTTGGCAAATTGACCATGAAAAATCCGGCGGCGATGGTCTTTATCCAGAAGTCAAAGACCAGCAGAAACTTTCCAAAGCCAGCCTGCGCAATCTCCTAAACGAAATCCGGGAAAATCGAACAACCTTACAGAAGCGCTTGCAGGAACAAAAGAAAAAAACTCTTTGGTACATTTGTTTCAAGCTTGGGCTACGCACTGGGGTCCGGAAGAAGAAATCCTTGGTAGACCAAATCCTAACATGGGTGAGTCTTGCATCGATTATCCATTGTGTATTCATTATGATGCTGCTGCTAGCGTTCGAGCTCCGGACCGGCCAATGTGCCTCAAGTTCCTCCATTGAATTATAATGATATCCCCGATGCCTGGGAAGGCGATGTGCTAATGGACAATGTAAAATATCTTTTATCTGCGTGCTACTTGAACACCTTACCTTGGAATGTAGGATTCCGATGTTGTTTCGGATTCTGGGGTTTCTGATGCTGTATGCTTAAGTTTGTCTTTTGAATACCTACTCATTAATCAATTTAAGATAGTCATTTGGTTCGAGAGCTTCATCAGCCCCATTGGTGATGCGCCCTGCACCAAGTTTTGCTTTCAACAGAGACTCTGCCTTCGAGAAACTCAAGTCAAAAACGCTCGACTTCGCAGGCAAACCTCCTTCGCTCAGCAAGCCCAACCTTCGGACTCTCAAAGCACTATGCCAGGATCTGGGCATTCATTACAATTCAGTTGATAGTAAATGAATTCTAGCTGCACGAATCTTGGACTACGTGTGTCTTTCTTTGAGCTATATGATACACTTCTGATATTCGTGGGACAGCGTAAAGAAAATGGGTCAAATGATCCAGTGCCGGTTTCGAAATTCGACCCACTAGTTTATGATAAGATCAAAGCCAAGTTCGAAGTGGAGGAGCCCTCGAGACACACGTTGATGAGCTATGAGCACACCTACCTCGAGTCCTTAAGCATAGACTACAAGGTTCCACAGTTTGATACTTCCGATCCCCCTCATTCGACCATGACCAAAGATGATCTCGGTCGAAGATTGCTACTCTGGGTGAGCCACCACCATCATTGAAATTACATTGACGTTCCAATCGTTGTTAGCGACAGGAGCATCGTGACACTCCCTTGAAACAGACCCTACCTCGACATGTTATTGGTAGGGATCTGCTGGAGGAGATATGGGCGGACATGAAGCGAACCATTTTACCTACTTGGATTCAATCGCCGCCTCCGAATTGGGGGACTCCTGCGCAAGGAAAGCTTAGCGCTGAGGAGTATAAAGTGGTATGCTCAATTTCACTGGTCATTACACTAGTCCGGGTATGGGGATATGGCACCGAAGATGCTCAGTCACGTCATTTCAAGATGTTGCTAAATTATCTGGACCTTGTTCATGCCGTTCATGTCCTTTTGCTCCGCGAAACATCTCGGCAGTCAAGGGAATACTACGTGTTTCATATGCAACGATATCTAGAAACTGTCCTGGTGTTATATCCTGATTTCACGCTGAAACCTAACCACCATTTCTCGCTTCATGTTGTCACTGACCTGGAAACAATGGGCCCAGGGCATGCACGGAGCACCCCAGTATTTGAACGCATCAACCACTCTCTACAAGAACTCAATGCAAATCAACACTTGGGTGATTTTTGTGTTCTTTATCATTGGCGAATGTTTGGTGACCATTCATTTCAGGTGAAGTCGAAGCTACAATGTTGACGGCTTATTGCCGGCAAGCCAACCTGGAGTTGATCTTGGATCACAATGCAGATGTACGACAAGACATTGATGAAGCCCTGAATGCTCTGAAAAACATTGAACGGGAGGATCATCGCGGAATGTTCGCTGGAACTGACCTGTCGGTTTGGTCAAGCACTGAGTTCAAGGCCACTCCCTTTTGGATCCAACACTCTACTCTAGATCGCATAACAGATCACCTATGTGGGATATATAATGTTCCTCGGTCTCATTGGAGTTCCACGCTAACTCGTCAGGCCCATAACTTGGCGGGTGTTGCAATTGGGCGGGTGATCTACTCTCATAGAGTCCGGCAGAATTCCGTCGTTTTTCGCCATGACGATACATTCCTTGCTGGCACGATCGACAAGGTCTTCACTCACTCCCATTCCCACCCTGTCACCCAGCAATGGAACACAATCACATATCTTGAAGTTTTGGCCATGGAAGCTATTGATGAACGGGACGATTTGTATAGACAACTTCATTGTGGCTGGTTGTGTCTGCAAACGCCTATTACACCAAGGACCCTCACCATACCGTTGTCAAGTCTAGTCTCGCACTTTGTCAGGACAGAACTATCCCTCGCTGTGAAAGGAAATCCTGTCACGCATGTATACCCTGTCCCAAAAGTAAGTAGAACATAATCTCTCTAGATTTCTGTTAATGAGACATATTACTAGGTGTTCTTTGATAACAATTCACCATTGCCAACCCCGACTAGTTGAATGGGAAATTATCGGTATGCCCTTCGTAGTTCTAGGATTCTGGGCTGCTCTTGTATTACGGAGTGAATGAATGAATTAAGAACAATGACTTTTCTTCGCTCCGTCGATCGTAATTTGAACCTGAATGGGATCTTTGCTTTTTTACTAGCTTAACCATTGTTGAACAAAGACCTTTGACAAAATTGAATCATATATAAGTTTGGGGCTTCCTTCCTCGAAACCACATACCTTCGACTTAAATATCCATGAGCTCTGTAAGTTTTGCACTACCTTTCAGTTAGCATACTGAAACTCCGGCAGAAAGTTCACATCCTATCATCCGACACTCAGCAGTTGCGGCTATTGGAGCGGCAGGTCGAGGAAAAGCGTCGAGAGATTCTCCAGCTTCGCAGCGAGGTTCAGGAATTGCAGCAACAGTTAGAATCCCCAAACCGAAAGAGTCCAGAAGTCGATGTACGTGCTGATTTATCTCCTATGAATTGAGCAACACAGATCTAAGAATTCAATCCAGATCGGCCTGGAACCCAAACATCAGCATTCTCTCACTCGTTTAGAGAGAGCGATAGCAATGAATCTGAGTTTTCGTACCCAGATACTGGCTTGCTTGGATTGCGATCTGAACGACTCGAAATCCATAGATGCAATCTCATCAGATGACGTTCGTATAGTGTCTCAATTTTCTCGCGGACGTTATGTGATCAATATTCTAGTCAAAGCAATTCTGGTCTCTACTCCAGCGAGTTAAATCTTCGAGAGCGGAGGTCGTCATATCAGAAGCTTTGGTCAGTAATGTCATCTCCATCACTATCACTTCGACGACTAATACAATTTCACTAGATGCTTTCCCCTGGTGCAGACAATGTAGAAGATGAGCTGTTGAAGGATTCGACAGCGAGCTATGACAGCGGTAATTTGACAGCACTGATAGTGGAACAATGTCTTGTACTGTGCGATATGGCCGGGAAGTTGAAAGGGACTGGTTATGAAGATGATCTTTTCCAAGAGTGCACCGACTTATATCACCAGGCACAATATTTGTAGAGAATTTTCCACATATTGATAGAATAATATGTGCATTCAAGTTTTTGTATGACATCTTAATCATAACTTCAGCCAAAATTTGAGCAGTATCCAACCGAGGAGGTTCAATTGCTATAGTTAGACCAAATATGTTGTATAGAAATAATACACTATGAGCAACGCTGCGACCAATTCTCCGACGACCGAGATTATCAACCAGATGATTGAAGTGAAGACAAAAGCGCCAGTTAGAATCGTCATATCTACAGCAATCTGTAGGATGGCGGAATCCTGTACATGTACAAAAGTCAGTACATGAGCAAAAAACATAAGATACTAGACATTACCATACTCCCAGCCGCGACTCGAATTTGAACTGGATCCGAGGTATAGCGATGGACGAGTGTGAACATCACAACACCGGGAGTTACGAACCCGATAGCAAGTGCATGCGGTTGACTTAGAAACATTGTTGAAACCTTCCAGAGAAGTCTGGTCGAAAACAGAAGGTAGCTCAAGATACCTGCGTTGAATAAAACGTTTGGAAGTCGAAGAGTATCTGACTGATTAATGATGGGTCTCAAAAGATGCTTTAGATCAATGAAAAATAACACTCACAGCGAAAGCCCTGAAGGCGAAGAAGCGATGGGCATTGGATCCTGGAGCTTTAGGGATACACTGATGAAAGGAATTCAAAAATGAATGCAAGTGACTCGGTGACCTACATACACCACGATCATTAAGATTGTCGCTTTCGTCCTGCTGAGCCTCACTGAACCGATTTGTCTTGTTCTGATATTGACCACGGACTGTCATGCCCTGACCACAACCAACCAGTCCCAGCACCATCCCACATGCTTCCTTACACCTCCCCAAGACATCCGACCTCCCCAAGACAGGACCACGGGTACTACGCACCTCCCCAAGACAGGACCACGGGTAATACGCACCTCCCCAAGACTATCCTGACAACCTCCCGACACGCGTACGAAACTCCTTAGCACCAGCCCCATTAAGTACAAATCTCGATCACCTGTCTCCTTCGACTACTGCCTCATGTCCCTAGGTTCCGATGTTCCCTTGTTCACTTCCCATACCTATTTAAGTAGCTCCGTAACGTCTCCAAGCGCCAGCTTGGTATATTTTGAACACACACCCTTTTGCATAGGTCCAGTCCCTGTCCCTTTGTACCTGCTAACCATACGGATTTCTCTTTACTCTCTGTTTCTCTACCTCTGTTTCTCTCTACTTCTGTCTATTGTCTCTCTGATCGTCTGTACGATCGAATATACGCTTTTACTTCAAGTCTAAGCCTTCCGAGTGAGTCCCCGAGCTCCCTCGAACATTACTAAAGCTCCCCAACGCCTACCCGCTTGGTGAGCTACTCTTCCCCAAACCTCCCAGAGCTCCCTAGCTACTTCGTAAGCTTCGGGACCTCGATCTAGGTAACGTCGAAGCTACCCCTCACGTCGAACTACGTATTGCTTCTCCGTTACCACCTCCCACACTCGAGGACGACCATCCTCCAACCTAGTCCCCAGGGACCTACCCTCCCTGGCATATCCCTTCTCGGGAGCTTACACCCTCGAGACCCCGTTGCATAAACTACCTACTCGACTCTATATTGACGTTCTAGCGAGTACAACTCCTACTACGCAATATCTTACGGTCCCGCACTCGTCCCGAACCTCCCTACGCATTAGGGACCTCCCTGGACCTCCTAGGAACCCCTCAAGGGTCACCATCTCGTCGTTCCAACCACTACTAGGTCCTTCCCGTCCTCGGTCGCGGTTCTCGTAGCTCCCTTCGAGCTCCAGCCTGCTCCTAGCACGCTACAACATAAACCCCCACATACCAAAACCTACCCTAAGACCTATTTTGACCCAGGTCTTACATTATACCAAGCTCTCCCGTCACCGAACGGACTCGTCGCGACGAAATGTCGGCGACGTCAACGGAACGACCTTCTATTTCCAAGACCGAATCAAAGAAACAAAAGAGCGCCTTATCTCGTGGAAACACGACACAAGCTCAAAAATCAAACCCGGCTGCTAGCTCCACTGTCATCACGGTGGCAGCTGGTCAACGCCTGGTGTCCATCCCAGAACAGTCGTTCGGGGATGAAACCGCCAGCAACATCCGGACCCCAGAGGGACGTCAACCGGAGGTTCAGGGGCCCCCTCCAGTGGAACCTGGGATGGGACCACCACAACGGAGGTTTACCTCCATGGGTTACGCCCAACCTGCCAGTAGTCCCATGGGAGGTTTCGCATACTCCCCTACCTGGGGAACGAGAGGACCTCCCCCTGGACCGATACCGCAGCTAGACATGGAGTCAGCTTCGAACGCGGGTGGAAGAGTCAGCGGTCAAGTAGCCGCTATCGAAAGGGTACAAGGGGGGAGTACTGACCCTCTCACAGTACGACAACAGGAGAAACTTCCAGAGAGGAGGGTATCCCCTGCCGTATCCGAACAATCTCGAACGTCATCCCGGAGGTTACCAACACCTCCAGTACAGTCCCTGAACCTTCCTCCCCCGAGACGAGGAAGTTCACTCTCCAGTCTCCTGAAGAGCCCAGCTATGAATACGCCCAACTGGGAGCGTACGCACGCAATACACCATAGCAGGACCAACTTCCCCGTACAACCCTGGTCCGAAATGACATTGCGTCTGGAAGACGTCATTCGAATTCAGGAGTGTATCCCGGAAGATGTAGCTATGGTCCTAAGGGAGGTATTGGAGTCAATGGGGATCGAAGTATTGGGAGACGGTCTCGAATTCTCAGACCTACGAGTACAGTTCCTAACAGTGGGAACTCAATTGGAGATAGACCTCCCAGAGAAGGCCCAGCAGTGGCTGATGACCCCCGCGAATCGATCAGATTTTCTCTGGCTGTACAACGTCCTGTTGGACCCAGAGAGGATGTTGGAACTGTTAGAGGCAGAGGCACGTTACGGACGATCGTTCCGAAACCCGAGGGGAATACTTCCCCTCCTCCCTCATACCCATGGAAGGGAGAAGGAATTCTGTGGCGAAGCAGGGCTACGTATATTGTACCGAGCCTCTAACTACAGATCAGGAGCCGTACGGTTTGAACCTCCCCCTTCGAGGGTGAACATACCGAACTACCAGGCGATCCAAATACTTCGGAACGCAAACCTAGCGGAAGCAGCAGCTAAAATCGATGAGGAAAGTAACGAGGATGCTAACGCAATCGCTGCAAAAAATCGTAGACGCAGGAGGTACACCACGGCTCACCTCCTGGCCCCAGTGGAGTCAATGCCTGATCAGGATAGTCCCGTCCGGGTCCGTAACGGACAGACGGTATACACGTACACGCCCATGAGGCATATGCACCAGCTTCTGGTGAGGAGTGAGGAGTCTGAAGCGATGTTGTGTTCGCAGGAGACCCGACATCGGACGCTACTAGCGGAATCAGACACTCTGATGCTGTCGGAGGAACTTTCTGGATCGAATCTAGAAAGAGCTTTGGAATTCCGTCGCAGACTGGTCGCGGATAATCGGGGAACCTCGTATATGGTTCAATGCGAACTCGAAAGCGTAGGGGAGTTCCCTCCGGAGCAATTTGACCAGAAAGGGCAGCTCCATGGATCTGATGGTCGTTTCCTGGCACAGAAACATTCATCGCCCAGGAATACCGAGGTTCCGGAACTCCTTAACCCCGGTAACACGGCCACGAGGAGCCCCCAGCTACGCTCCGGGACCTCCCCCACTGTACATGCCTTGGCTCAAAATGCGACTCCTCCCCCCAGAGTTAACCTGCAAACGAAACCTTTAACCCCAGTCTCGACGCAGCGATACCAGTTTGGTGAGGTGAGGATGGATGGCGCACAACATTCATCCCGGATCTCCGGACAAGATCTGACAGCTCGGCTGGCTCCCAACCCTGTACACGTTCCTCCAAGACTGAGCAATCCATCAGTCATTCCGTATCAAGGGTCGGTATCGATGCAATCTCAGGCAGTGGGAACGGAAAGTCAAAGGGGTCCGAACCAACGAAGAACGTTGGCAGTTCACGAAGAGGCGGTACCCCCGCAGGGAGCTCCTTTTGGAACTCCCTTTGTAACGGGAGCTCAGATGAACCGACCTGGCATGGCTTTCGAGTCGGCACGCTCTCAGGAATCGGTAGCAATGATCCAACAACAGGCTCGGGTCATTGAGACGCTCCAGGAACAACTCCGTGAGGTAAAGAAAGGATTCACAGAGGGGGAAGTACCGACTGGAGGACCCCTTTCCAAAACAGGAAACACGGCGGGATTATCCGGGCGAGCACCTAGGGTAATGAGAGAATATACGAGGGGGGGTCCTTCTCCTGTAGTTCCCCAGCCAAGGAGCTGGCAAGCTACGGAACCAATATCCTTTAACCGAAACACTCCTACAGGAGCTAGGGGTGGAAACCCCCAGGTAGAACAAGCAGGACAGATCCCGGATACTCCGAGTGTGGACCGACGACGTATTCACGAGTGGGGAGCCCGAGTGCAAAGAGCTGAACTAGGGGAGTATGGGAGGCCAGAAGGAGGAGCGTACGCGTTGGAAAATGAGGGAGAAGGCAAAGGCGGTTTTAAACCCCCTACTAGAGTACCTCCCCCACATTTTTCTAGTCAATCGAGAGATCGAGAACGACCTCCGAGTCAAGGGGGACAGGGTCAAAGAGAACAGGGAGGAAGGAGCGGGGGAGGGGCACCACCTCCGCCTCCTCCTCCTCCACCACCTTCCGGGGGACCGGGTGATAGTAATTCGGAAGGTTCCAACGAGGGGGAACAGAACCAATCGAGTAGGAATGGTGGAAGGAGAGAGGAAGACAGAGGAGAGCTCCCCACTGGAGCTCCTGACGTACCTCCAACACGCTATGACCCGGACCAACCCTGGTACTACGATCCAAGACAAGGTTGGCATCGTAAGGCAGCTCCTAGACCTCCCAACGAGGGACGAAGTACGTGGGAGAGCAACGAAGAAAAAAATCGGATTACCATTGAGTCGAAGCTCGACGTCGGTAAGATCGAAAGCTTCGCAGGTGACGACCGGTCTGCATGGAAGACGTGGGTCCTCAGTTTGGAAAGGATGTTTGGAGTGCGTCCTACCATTTATGCTCGGGAAAAGGACAAGTGCGCTTCCGCAGCTAGTCATCTCACTGGTGCAGCACTCTCCCACTTCGACACGTTGAATCGGCAACGACTGAGGGGGGAGTACACCTGCCTCGAAGACTGGACAGAGTTCAAACGAGAATTCGGCTCCAAATTCGGACCCATTGACGAGGCGGACGAGGCAAGGAGGAGATTGGCCTGGATGAAGCAGATGCCGGAGGAAAGCTTCGCCAACTTCTTCATTCGCTTCAACGAATACGCTCCCCTGACCGGATTTAACGACGAGGCTCTAGTAACATACCTCAAGAAAGGGGTAGCTCCTTGGTTGCCTCTACAGGTTGTTACCGGAAGGGAGGAACCTCGATCCTACGACGAGTGGACCCGAGTGTTCACGAAGTTGGACGGGGCTGTACGTGCGCAAGCGGAGAGTTTGAGGAACCTCCACGGTGAAAAAGCACTGCAAGGATGGCTGAGTCGTTTCCCCGGATTGGAGTTAGCACCGGAAGCTCCTTACAAGTCCCCCTTGCGTCGGGAACGAGATCCAGCTGATGTCTGGACCTCCAATCCGAAACCAGCAGCGACAGGGAGGTTCCCAAACAGATCCAACTGGAAAGAGGGACGACAAAGGGCGTCTGCAGCTTGGGGGGAAGGAGAAAGTTACGATAGAGATAACCGAGAGGAGGACGAGGACTGCTGTCACTGCAGGGATG